TTTTTTGGTAAAAATGTACAAAATGTCCTAATTTTGTGGTAAATCACTTCTTCTTCAAACTGAATGCTCGAAAAGGCAGCTTGCAGTTTTTTAAAAATGCTTAATTTCCCGAATAAGTTAGGACTCGATCTAGGTCAACGACCTATGCTCCAGATAAGTTGTGTATAATGCAAGTCATACAATCCCCCATGCCATTAAGAAGATACATTTTGTAATGAATGGGGACTATGATTTATACTTCGCTAGGAACCCTTATAAATGGACAAATACGATGTTATTTTATTGGCCATTGTCCCTTCTTAAAAATCTCGAAATTGCAATTTTTTAAAACCAATAGATATCCGTTTTTTCGATGCCCATTATAACACTTCCACTGAAGTAATTCTTTCTAGTCGAAGACCGATTTCAGAACTTCCTTAAACATTCCATGCCCAGAGCTCACGCCAAACAAGCAAAATTGGCGCTTTGGGAAACTAATTGGTTTACAGTAGCTTTTGCGGTAGACCAAGTTGTCCCTATGGACCGAAAACGAGCATATCAAAGACTATAGCAGATAACTTCTGACTTATCGCTGTAGGCTCGTACTGAGAATATCGCGCCCTGGTTTTCTGTGGGAGAAAGAAGACAAGACCAGAAATAATATGCTTCAGAGAGAAGAAAGGTAGGGATAACTGTACTTAAATGTAACGGAAAGTAAGATGCCGAGTTGTGAGGAGGAAGCCAGTAACAATATGTGGAAAAAAGTCAACTGGTGTTTACGTTAAAGCATTTGTGTAATCAACTAGCTTCAACCAAAAATCTTTCGAAGACAGTGCATAAGGACGTCGACGTGACGGCGACAGTAAATACGAAGTTTGATGATAATCCATTTCTAAAACCGATCCTTACAAACGTGATCCACTAGGAGAGTCTCACTGCGAGTAGATCGTAATTCATACAGTATAGCTCTTTAGGGCTACGCTATTATTTTAGAAATTTTTGGCAGTTAATTTGATAACCACCTCAAATATACGTATAATGTACATGGGGAACCGACTTCGGCGAAAGGAGTTATTCGCCGGGAAAAAAGATATGAATGCGGGGACAACATATCCTCTTCCACTCGATAATTTATTTCAAGAAAGATTTCACAATGAAATCAGAGCTCTAAAGCGCGGGGGTTCAAGTGCTCAGCAAAATTGACCGGCATTTAATATTTGCAAGTTTAAGTGATAGGCTTGAGGATACGAACGACGCTTTGTGTTTATATAATGATAATACCCCCAGTACAATAAACAAAATTCGTCCAAGATCGATATCAGAGTATCATCGGCTGAACAGAATTGGAACAATAGGTGAAGATTTTACATCAGCACGGTCATACATCAGGTCTTGCAACAGAAGCATAATTCCACAGCATAGTACCTACTTTCTTCGATGATTTGGCTTTCTGTACTTAAAGAGCACTTAGACCAAGCATGCTTTTTATGTTTAAAGTTCCAAATACAGAAACCACATTCTCTGCAAGCTGTCTGCTATTATCCTAATATTTATTAACTAGGTATGAATTCCAAAGAAGGGAAATTTTTTAAAATTTGATTTTCCTGTTATCTTAAATTGATCCTTCTTGTTGTGATTAATCATGTAGATCTCAGAGGGCTGACATAGGATTTACTTCAGTTGATACAATTGTGAAAAATTCGCGGCCTCGGTAGAAGTCA